ACTAAGACATTAACCTGGTTAAACAAGTCTGAGTCTCAGCTCTATCTCAAGTGTTTACTTTTCTCTGTATTCATGTCTGACTCCTGGTGAAGTGAAGCATGCCTGCGTTTGCGCGGAGTAGCCTCGCATCAGTCATACTCGCTGCGGACGTCGCCCTAGTGCGAGACTATACGCTATTCGGCGGGAGTCCTAAGCTAGCCCTCCCCGTGAAAACCAATCTATGCCGCGTAAATATTTAATTTAACTGCACGACGAGTCCTCAAAGCAAGACCACACTCATAAACTAAGTGTTCAACTGCTCAACACTTGTAAGTGTGCAACTGCAAGTTGATTACTTGCAAGTGTGCAACTGCAAGTTGATTACTTGCAAGTGTACAACTGCAAGTTGATTACTTGCAAGTGTGCAACTGCAAGTTGATTACTTGCAAGTGTGCAACTGCAAGTTGATTACTTGCAAGTGTGCAACTACGTAGTCGTACATTTGCCAGTGTTTAAATCGGTAGGTGTGCACTTGCAAGTGTACAACTCCTTGGTTGAACCCTTAGATGGAACGCTCACTGTGTAGGAAGTGCTCAACCGAGGAGTTGCACACTTGCAAGTGCACACCTCCCGAGTTATGCACTTGCAAGTATTCAACTTGCAGTTGCACACTTGCAAGTATTTAACTTGCAGTTGCACACTTACAAGTGTTGAGCAGTTAAACACTTAGTTGATCAGTGCAAAATTTTTAAACTAATAGTTTAGTTTTGTTTACCTTTTCGAAATAAATGTATTATTGACAAGAGAGTCCCGCTTCCCGCTTTCTACCGTGCGATTCAGGAGATAGTTCAAGAGAGGCTCTCCTATACCTCCTGTATAGCTCCGTCTCCGTCCTTGTTGCACTCATAGGGCAGGTATAAAAGAGCCCCTCTTGAACCATCTCCTGAATCGCACGGTAGAGCCCAACGCCCCTACAGGCGATATTATATCAGCATGGCAACTGATTCCTGATAAGGATACGGGGAAAGGTATACCCTGCGCATCGGACGTGGTGCATGTGAAGAGAGGACCGCCAGGAAATTATCAACAGTAGAAGCCGGGCTGAGGGCTAGGGGGGTTAAGGTGAGGGGGGCGGTATGAGAAACTGTCATACGGATGGCCGCGCGAACATCTCAACACAAAAACAATTACCTCCTCCAGATATGGAGAGGGCAGTGAAGGGGACAGTACGCAGCCGGCTGCATTCCGGGTTTTCCCTGCTTCTTGAACCCTTTCACCATGAACCAGACACGAAACTAAACGCCGAATAGAGGTTCAGCAGCCCGGCGGATCAAAACTCACGTCAAGCGGGTGGGACAGCAGAGGTTCAGCAGCCCGGCGGATCAAAACTCACGTCAAGCGGGTGGGACAGCAGCAGGCGATGTTAATCCCAGAGAATCTGCCCCCGCGGCGGCAGCACTGCGGCAGCACGAGGTGCTCCACGGCAATGCAAGCAAACAACTGATCCACGCCCGCCCAGCCGCAGCGTACCGGCCGGCCCGCGCTGCTAGCCCGAGCGCCCCGCCCCGCGCCCGCCCAGCACATCCAGTGCGGCGAGGCGGAGGCCAGCGGCGGGCTGCGTGCGGGAGGCTCACCACCCAGCAGAGACGGGCGGCGGAGAGCGGGTTACTCGCGCGACCCCGGACGCAGCCTGTGTCCCAGCTGACAGTCGCCGTTCCCCCGCACCCTCCCCTCTCCCCGCTCCGCCCCTCGGTCCAGCAGGCGCAACAGAGGAGTCGACAAGGACTCACCAAGGTCCAAGAGGCAGGAGGGGGAGGGGTATAATGTGCGGGCCAAAACAGTGGGCCGCCAGACAGCACGCGGCCAGGGCAGTCTACTCTGTACTGGGCGGCCGGGGCCCGGCTACGGCACCGCACGTCACACGGGCAGGTGTGACCCCGGGAGTTGCAAAACGCCGCCCCACCCTCGCCACGTAGGGTAGGTGCAAGTGCAAGTGAACTTTCCCTCCTCCTTACTCCACCCCACTCACAGTACAGCCAAGATTTTCGCTCCACATGTTTACTTTAACTGTCATAATAATCATCGAGAAGGCTATAGAAAAACACTGACACATAATTTGCATTGGGTTGAGTAGTCTGTTGCCAAGCAGGCTGCACTCATACAGTGACTGTATGAGGATTCCATCCGGACACATTGAATACGCGCTCGAGACATCGCGAATGTCTAAAAAGTGTCTATCAGACGTCCTACAGCCGATGTGAAGTCAGTCAGGGGTCATACCCGAGACGGTATCAGCTTTGGTAAAACCGAAGGTAATGTACTCAGTCGCATCTGTGCAGGAATGTTATTTGGCAATTTTTAGTTTAGTGCCTTTGTAAAGGCAATGAGGGGTCCAAAAGATACTTAAACTTACGTAGTGCGGCAGTTTTGATGACTTTGTAAGAGTCCTTAACACCCTTTAAAAGGTGCGATTTCACACCTTTGTTTTTCTAGTGTAATGATCACATTGTACTCGCGATATTACTACTGCAATAATCCTTCGGAAAAGTTACATCAATATTACTTTACAATCACTAATACTATGCCCCGTAAGGCACCATGGTGAGGGGCGCTCGGAAAGCCTGAAGGCAAGCCCGCCCGCACGGCTGCGTGCGGTACAGTATAACTACAGAAGGTGCGCGGGATGAATCAGCCACCTGAGGTGCTAAATCACACATTTATACAAAGTCCACAGTTTTATTTTAAAAGATAAATAGAAATTACCATAACCAGTTCCCCACGTGGTCCTTCCCGTCGCGGAAGTCACGGCACGGCACAGACTGTGATCTACGCCAGCACTACTACCGACATCGTGGGGAAAGTCGCGAGTGTGCGGGCGGGTGAGAGAAGCAGTCGACCGGACGCTATGTGATGTCATCCAAGTCATAATGGTTGCCTATATGCTCCAGGCGCGTGCTCAGCCAGCGTCCCGAGGCATGAAGGTTGCCTACGCTCCGGGCGCAGCACTGCAAGAGACCGAGGCGAAATGGCTGCCTGAGTCCCCGGCGCGCCCCGTTGACGCGTGCTCCCCGTGGCGAGCGGTGAGTGGGATGCGTTGCCCCAATGTGTCATGCCACCGAAGCGGTTGAGATGGCACAAGAGTTGCCCACCCAGTAGGCGTAGGCGCGTTGTTCACCACACCGTGTCCCACGTTCAGCCGATCATGATACAGCCTGTCCAACCGTAAACGTTGGCCGCCGAGGCCCGCACCAGGGGACAGCAGCGTAGGGGTCGAAACGGGCCTTGAACTCAACGTGTCAGAATTAATTTCTATACATATGAAGAAGACAGGCATGGCCTCGCCGTGTCGTGAGAATCAGTACCTTAATTACCGTTACGAAAGGTATCAAGAGTGTTCATATAACATCCAGCGAGTTGCTTATAAGTTCACTGCGCGGCTGTGGGCTTTTCAGTCCAGTCATGTCTCCCCGCGGGTCCGCCTTTTCTTCGTCCTCCTGACTGTCGAACGACTGTCCCTGCCGGCACCACCGTACTGACCTCTCAAGTGTTTAACGTAGAGTAGGGGGTGGGTGTTAAAAGACCGACTTGTGTTCTGGTTTTGTGCACTCGACCGCTTAGCCCGGTGCGAGTATGCAACCCGACCCCACGCCTGCATGCGGTACAGCGGTACAGTCAGTTTAACCAGGAAAATGTCCGGCGTACAAGCAACCACCCTGTAGAAGTGTTCAGATACACTTCACAAAGTTGCTTGAGTATCCAAATAACAACGAATTTCGTGTGGAGAACGGAGTGTTTGACTCGAATATTGAACACTTTGAGGTGTGCCCCATAGCAATGAATGGGCATTTGTCTCACAAGCACTACTTGCAAGTCACCTGCGGGGATGTCAGTGCGGGCATGGCCAGCGAGTGACCGGGTGTGGTCACGACACCACAATAAAAACAAAGACAGCGGCTGACTTAATACTGGTCCAAAGATCGGTACCGTCTTAGTGTTTATGATCAGAGGCCCCCCTCCCCCCACCTGCACCGGGTCGTGGTGACGGAAACACTGGCCTTTAGAACGCTTTGGCTGCTTTAGCGCTGCTGCAGCGGAGCCGCTCGTGGGTCCAAAGTGCGGCGCTTGTGAGAGTTGTCCTAAAGCAGGGGGGAGAGGAGGGGGGGAGACCAAGGAGGCGCGTGGCTGGCGGGGAAGTGGTGCGGAGTGGGGGAGGAAGGTGAGGTTCGATCGCGATGCAACCCGGTGGTGTTGGTCAGTCACTGTGAGCCACAGCCTGACTCGTTGATCGGGGGAGCAGCACCGGCCGCGGGCACCATAGCGAGGGCACCAGACCGTCCCACGACCCACAACAAGCCGTCAGCAAAGCCTGCCGTGAGTACCATACACGACGTGACGGTCCGTGCGACCATTCAAACAGTAACTCTTCACTGGCATGACCATAGGTATAGTCACTGTGACTTGGACATGCCTAGTCACAACCAATCGTTTGGTAAGGGTTTGCCACCCCGTTCAGCTCGGTCCGGCGTCATCACATAGCACACTAACTAGATTTGTATCTTGTATTTGCACAAAGTTCAACAATCAAATTTAGGGCACAATTTTTTGAGTTGATTTGAGCATCTTTGTATGTGCATGTGTATACAAATTTAAATCATGCATTTTTGAGCACAAAACGAAACGTAGGTTTAACCTAGGACAAAACCTATGCACAAAAACAAATACAGTTTACGTAAAACGAGGGAATTCCCTCACGCATTTAACTTTACGTGCCACGAAACTGACAATAATCGTTGATAGAATGTGGATTTATAGCGATGTTTTCAGCATTTGTACCCATGGCAACAGCATACCTTTTCTGTAGTGTAAACCGGGTCGCATAAACCGAACCTAAGCCGCCAACGCGCCGCCTCGTTTTGGAAACCAAAGCATTTCTCTCATTGAGCACTCCTCGAACTCGCAATTAGCATTTTGTTGTTTGCGAAAGAGCGTCTAGACGCAGCCGGTAGGCGTTAAACAGATGCGAGCGCAGCCAGCAGGCCCTCCATAGGAAAGAGGAAAGGCGTTTAGGTGCACCATCATAATTATTTGCAGCTTATTAGTGCTTGAGTAGTAAGAGCCTCACTAGTTATACCTCCGCGTCTGGGGGGCTTTGGCCTGGCGGTCGTTTCCCCCAAACAGCAGAGGGCATTTCGA